CTTCTTTTTTTTTTCTATTTTAAAAAAAGGTGACTGCGAAGGGGATCTTAACCCTTGACTTGGTGTTGTCAGCACCACACTCACCCAGTGAGCAACTGGCCATCCCTATATGGGATCAGAACCCGTGGCCTTAGTGTTATCAGCACCACACTCTCCCGAGTGAGCCACGGACCTGCCCGTAACTTTTTTTTTTTTGTCCTTTTTGAGACCGGCCGCACCTCGCTCAGCCAGTGAGCTCACCGGCCGTCCCTATATAGGATCCGAACCTGCAGAGGGAGCGCTGCTGCGCTCCCAGCGCCGCACTCTCCCGAGTGCACCATGGGCTCGGCCCCTGCTCATAACTTCTAAGCTTCTTAAGTGCACAGCCAATAGCTACATATTTTTATAATCTGTGTAATATCTAATAATGTTACACAAGTTCATGGAAGAAAGGAATCAGTGGGTAAAGGATGAGTGGAATTTCAGTGGAAGAAAAAAGGATTTTCAGAAAGAATCTATTAGACAGTGGTTCCTCTAAGTTCTGACCTATATCTTCTACACACTAAACAAATCCAATAAAGGGTTTTGCCTGAGATTGGGTGTCCCCCAAAATTTGACCCCCACTGTGACAGTATTAAGAGGATGGGAAATCCTATTATGGTAATTGAAAGGTGGGGTCTTGAATAGGTGATTAGATTGTACAACCATGCTGTAGTGAATGGATTAAAAATGGTGGTCATGGGCATGGTTTGAAGGGCTTTAAAAAGAGAGTGAATGAGGAAGTTAGTCTCTGTTCTCTCTGCTCTGCCACTTTCACAATGTGATACCCTGCTCACACTGAAGTCATCACCAAAGAAAGCCTTCACCAGATGTGTTCTTTGGATTTTGGACTTCCTAGCCTCTGAAACTGTAAGCAGTAAATTTCATTTTCTTTATAAATCACCCAGTTTCAGGTATTTTGTTATAAGCAACAGTAGTGGACTAATACAGCAACAGAAACGAACCAGTACAGGTTTCCACCTTTACTATGTATCTTCAATGCTGGGCACTACATTAAACGGTTTTTAATTGACTGGTATGGCATGCATTCCTTATATCTTTTGTTTCCCGTATCAGTTAGGGATTGGGTACCGTCACTGGTAACAAAAATTTGACTTCAGGGGCTAAAAAAAATTAGACATTTATTTTGCCATGTAAAAGAACTCCAGAGGTAGGTAGTTCAGCGTTAGTATGGAAACTACACAAGGCATCAGTGATCCAGGCTGCTTCTACCTCTCCACACCACTTTCCTAAGTACCTGGCTTCTATTTTCAAATTGCCACTGTGGTGGCAGATAGCTGTCATCAGGTCATAGTTTAAGCAAGGAAGAAGTGGAAGGGCAATGACAAAGGGTAAAAGAAGCCCATAGAAGTTTTTTCCCTTTTTGGAATGTTACCAAAAGTTCTACGTAAAAACTTTTGCTTATACCTCATTGGCTAGAACTTAGTCAATTGGCCACACCTATTTCCAATGGAGACAGAAAATTGTATTTTCTTAGTGCATTTAAAAAAAAAATGCCCCCTGACTTCTGTTACTAAGCAGAAGGGAAGAATGGATATTGGGTAGGCAACTAGCACTTCCTTTCACAGTTCCTCTTAAATTTTCTGCACACGATGTCCTATGGATCCCTAGCTCAGTGCTTGGCATTATGTTGTTCTTGGAATCAATGATTAAATGAATAAAGCATTTTTAGATAAATCAAGTAGTTCTCAGAATGACCTTTTTAAAATTGACTTTATTTCTTGAGCAATTTTAGGTTTACAGAAAATTTGAGCAGAAAGTACAGAGAATTCCCATATAACCTGCCTGCCATGACACACAGTTTCCCTATTATTGACATCTTTCATTAGTATTGTACATTTGTTACAAAATGATATTGATATGTGATTAACTAAAGTCTATAGTTTACATTAGGGTTCACTGTTTATGTTGCACAGTTCTATGAGTTTTGGTAATTGCATATGTCACATATCCACCACTACAGTATCAAACGGAATAGTTCCACTGCGCTAAAAATCCCCTGTGCTCCTCTTATTTACCCCTTCCTTCCTCCTCCAGAACCTTGCTACCAATCTTTTTACTATCTCTACAGCTTTGCATTTTCCAGAATGTCATATAGTTGGAACCATACAGTATATAGCTTTTTCAGACTGGCTTCTTTCACTTAGGAATATGCATTTAAGGTTCCTCCATCTCTTCTTGTGGCTTGATAGTTCATTTCTTTTTAGAACTCAATATATTCTACCGTATGAATGGACCACAGTTTGGTTATTCATTTGCCTACTGAAAAACATCTTGGTTGTTTCTAACTTATCAATAAAGCTGCTATAGGGCTGGCCAGTTAGCTCAGTTTGTTAGAATGTGGTGCTGATTAACATGAAGGTTCAGGGTTCAATCTCTTTTTTCTGGCAGCCATGTAAAAGAACAACAAAGCGGGCCAAGCCCGTGGCGCACTCGGGAGAGTGCGGCGCTGGGAGCGCAGCTGCGCTCCCGCCGCAGGGTTGGATCCTATATAGGGATGACCAGTGTATTCACAGCGCTCACTGGGTGAGCGTGGTGCTGACAACACCAAGTCAAGGGTTAAGATCCCCTTACCGGTCATCTTTTTAAAAAAAATAAAAGATTGAGTGTGTTAGAGATATTCCCACAATGACTGGATATCTTTTCTTTTTTTCTTCCACACCATCTACATGTGAACTTGGATATCTTCATATTTAAGACTGAGATACTTAAAAAGCTGATTAAAAATCAAACGTCAATATTCTGGGCCAGCCTGTGGCTCACTCGGGAGAGTGTGGTGCTGATAGCACCAGGGCCACAGGTTTGGATCCCATATAGGGATGGCCGGTTGGCTCACTGGGTGAGCATGGTGCTGACAACACCAAGTCAAGGGTTAAGATCCCCTTACTGGTCATCTTTAAAAAAAAAAAAAAGTCAATATTCTACGTGGTTTTTTTTTTTTTTGGTGGCTGGCTGGCATGGGAAACTGAATCCTTTTTTTTTTTTTTCATAGGATCCGAACCCATGGCCTTGGTGCTACCAGCACTGCACTTTCCCTAGTGAGCCACAGGCTGGCCCACGAACTGAATCCTTGACCTTAGTGTTACAAGGCTGTGTTCTCTAACTAAGCTAACCAGCCAGTCCCAATATTCTCCCATTTTAACCTCATTTCTATCTTCTAAAATTTTTTATTGACTTTTTTTTGTTTTTGATCTGCTATTATGTCCTTTCCTTTTCTTTTTCTTCTTTGGGCTAATAAAGTTTTTGCTCTTTTACTCTCATTTAAACAACTTTTTATTGAGGTATATATGCATTAACAAAAGTGCCCACAAATATACCACCTGTACATGTAAACCAGCACTCAGATTAAGAAAAAGAACATCATTAGCACTTCAGGAGCCTCCTCATGTTTCCTTATAGTTATTATTCCCCAAGATTCATCACTACATTGACTCCAAATAGCTTGGACACTTCAGTAGTTTACAGTTTGGGGCTATTACAAAGTGTGGGTATGAGCTTTTTTCGTACATGTCCTTTTGGTGAACATTTCAGGTGGACGTGTGCCTAGAGTGAAATTGTTGGGACAAAGGCTATTCATATACTCAGTTTTAGTCAATAATGGCAAACAGTTTTAACAAAATGATTGTATCAATTTATGTTCCCTTCAGGAGCATATGAGAGTTCCGGTTGCTCTACAATCTTGTCAATATTTAGTATTTTCTGTCTTGTTCATTTTAGTCATCTGGTGGGTAAAGTTTTCTCACTGTGGTTTTAATCTGTTTTTCCTCTTTTTTGTTTTTTAGGTGTTTCAATAAGGAGCAGATAATGTAGGGGGTTAATCCTCTATATTTGCTGGAAACTTCTCCCTTATGGATACTTATCTAATGGAATTCAGAACCTTTTCCCCTTATTGTAGGTAATATAATATAAAAGATGAGGGCAACAAGTTTGGTAGTCAGACATACTGACTTGATTCCTAACTCCAATGCTTACTTGCCGATTTACTTTGAGAAAGTTATTTAACCTTTCTCCATTTTATGTAAAATGCCTCATAGGGTTGTTATTAGGATTAAATGAGATAAAATCAGTAAAACACTTTGTAAAATTCCTAGCACACTGCAGGCACATAGTCAACAAATGGCATCTATTACTATACCTTATATTGGTTATTTATGTACATCTCATTTCTGTTTACACATTCCATGACAAAAGAACAGCATATGGCACACATTAGCTGCCTCACATATAATAAGTGCTAATAAAGACTGGTTGGATGAACGATTTACTATATAAATGGAAGTATTGTGGTTACTGTTATAAAAAATGGCATGTTATTATAATATCTATAGGAAAATATGCACTGCTAATGAGGAATACATTATTTAAACACAGCGTTTCTCCTATCTGCCATCATCATTTAGCAAGAAAAGAAAACTGAAGTAGCAGAAAAACACTACTCAGGGTAATATTAGATGATCCATATTGCATTTGCGAGGGTTCTAGAGGTTTCTCCCTTCAAAACCAAAACTAAAACACAAAAATACCATCCCAGAAACAAAAGCACCACTCTTTTGAAGAGGTGTTAGCCTTTCTGATTTTATTTTATTTTTATTATTATTATTTTTTTTAAAAGATTACCGGTAAGGGGATCTCAACCCTTGACTTGGTGTTGTCAGCACCACGCTCACCCAGTGAGCAAACCGGACATCCCTATGCGGGATCTGAACCACAGTGGCCTTGGTGTTATGAGCACCGCACCCTCCCGAGTGAGCCACAGGCCGGCCCTAGCCTTTCTAATTTTAGCAGATCATTTGTTCAACAGTGGAGAAACTGGGGAGGCCACAGCTACCCCAGCAGCTTCCGTACAAGATGGCGCCGCTCATTCGCACACCCCAGCTGGTGTTACGTCCTCCTGGCCGGCCGCAGGGCCGGAAGTGGTTACGTTGCTAGTGGATCCGGTTAGGTGAGCGGGGGCGGCCGCTGCGGTTCCATCCTTCAGCGTGAGGTGCCGCAGGTGTTCTGCGCTGGGTCCGAGGCCGCAGGTAAGAGACTCAGCGGCCGGATAGGCCTGTCACCGAGATTGTGCGCGGGGCTGAGAGGTTTCCAGTGCGCATCAAGAGGAATCACGGAGCGGGGGATGTCACCGTGTGAGGCGGGGACTAATTGCGGGGACCCCTCTCCCCGCTTTCGCGCGGGGCCTTGTCGCTCCCTCATGCACGGCAGGGGCGGTTCAGTACCCGGATCCGCAGAGAGGGCTTTCACCTCGGCTCGCGGTCCCCCAGGCTCTCCCTGGGCCACCTCCTCCGACACTCTTATCTTCTCTTAAGGAGCATCTATCAAACCTTCAGCGCTTCTTCAAGTCAGCTAAAAAGGAGGCCCCGCCCGCAGCACCTGGTCACTCCTCGGGTGCTGCGTGTCCGGTGCATCCATAGCTACAGTTCCCTCCCCTGGACTCGTAGGGACCTATCCCCCACCCCCATTGTCACTTCCCCTTTCCTCTTAGACCACCCCCGCTGCTCTGGGCCACTTTCGCTTCTCATATCTCTGGCATAGGTCAAAACAAGAACTTTAATCATTACTTATTACAAAATTGACATCTGTTCATTAAAATGCAAGCAAACCCAAACCTTTATAAGCGTTTGATATATTATTGGATTCAAACTCCCTTATATACCCACTTTTTTTTTGTTTTTTTTTAAAGATGACCGGTAAGGGGATCTTAACCCTTGACTTGGTGTTGTCAGCACCACTCTCACCCAGTGAGCTAACCGGCCATCCCTATGTGGGATCCGAACCCTTGGCCTTGGTGTTACCAGCACCGCACTCTCCCGAGTGAGCCACAGGGCCGGCCCAGTATATACCCACTTCTTGAAGACACAAAATTATTTATACCTTATTTTCTTAGTTGTATTACAAAGATAGAAGGAATTGCACTAAAAGGTTTTGTTAATTATCCCAGTTAGGAAGTGTGGAAGAAAAGAGGTTTAATGGAGGGGAAGGAGTGATTAAATTTGGTCAAGTTGAACAAGTTTTAAAAATGTATTAAAAAAAAATGTTTTAGGGCCGGCCCGTGGCTCACTCGGGAGAGTGCGGTGTTGAGAACACCAAGGCCCCGGGTTCGGATCCTATATAGGGATGGCCGGTTAGCTTGCTGGCTGAGTGTGATGCTGACAACACCAAGTCAAGGGTTGAGATCCCCTTACCGGTCATCTTTAAAAAATAAATAAATAAATAAATAATAAATAAATAAAATAAAAATTAAAAAAAAATGTTTTAGTTACAGTCCATGCATACAATCTAGTAAAAAAAAATTCACGTAAAAATTTTATTTTTATTTATTTTTTTGTTTTTCCCCCTACCCACACACAAAATTTTAAAGAAAGATACTTTTTGATCTATTTTTTTCCATCTCCATCTTTTCTTCTTTCCCAGTTCCTTTCCTTTCCGGAAAGTATGAACTGTTATCAGTTTGGGGTGTAGTTTTCTTTCTTTCTTTTCTTTTTTTTTTTTTACATTTGTTAACAAGTGTGAGGGCATATAAGTATATGTTTGTAGGATTTCGTGTTAAACTTTTACAAATGTGTATTTTTACAAATATGGCATATTGGAAAACGTTGGAACTTGACGTTTTATGCTTAAAAATGAGTCTTGGACTTTTTTGTCTCTATATAGAAGATATTCTTTGCATTTGCTCTTTAAGTTCCATAGTATGTTAAGACTCCAGGGGCAGGCTAGTTAGCTCATTTGGTTAGAGCGTAGCCAAGGTCACAAGTTTGGATCCCCTTACCTGGCAGCCACCAAAAAAAAAAACGATTCCATAATGTGTGAGGTTCCATGTTTCCAGGTTTTTCACTGTTCCACGCAGTGTGGCAGAGGACATCCTTCCGCATGCCTCTGTTTGCCCACGTGAACATTTCTCAAGGATAGATTTCTAATATTTTTATCACCCTAAAAAGAAACCCACACCTATTAGCAGTCATTCCCCATCCCAAACTCCCCTAATACCTCAGCTGTAGGCAACTACTAATCTTTTTGCTTTTATAGACCTGGATATTTTGTAGAAATGGAGTCATACAGTATGTGGTGTTTTGTGACTGGTTTCTTTCACATAATACAATGTTTTCAAGGCTAATCCATGTTGTAGCATGTATCAGTACTTCATTCCTTTTCTTGCTGAATAAAATTCTATCCTATGGTGTATTTGTTTTCTAGGGCTACAGTAGCAAAGTAACACAAACTGGGTGGCTTAAAACAACAGAAATGGGGGCTGGCCCGTGGCTCACTCGGTAGAGTGCGGTGCTGATAACACCAAGGCCATGGGTTCGGATCCCATATAGGGATGGCCGGTTCGCTCACTGGGTGAGCGTGGTGCTGACAACACCAAGTCAAGGGTTAAGATCCCCTTACCGGTCATCTTTAAAAAAAAAACAAACAGAAATGTATTCTCTCACAGTTCTGGAGGCCAGAACTACAAAATTAAGGTGTCAGTAGGGCTGTGGTCTGTCTGCTCTATCCTAGCTTCGGGTGGTTGTTGGCAGTCCTTGGCATTCCTTCGTTTGCAGCTGTGTAACTCCAATCTGTCTTCACATGGCCGCCTTCCCGAGTGTCTTCACATTGGATTCTCTCTGTTCGATTCTGTGTCTCTTCTCCTTTTCCTAGTAGGACATCAGTCATATTGAATTAAGGGCCCACCCTACTCCAGTATGACTTCATTTTAACTTGATTACATCTGCAAAGATCCAATTTCCAAATTAGGTCACATTCATAGTGTATTTGTCCATTTATGTTGCTTATAACAAAATAGCTGCAACTGGGTGATTTATAAAGAAAAATGACATTTCGGGCCGGCCCGGTGGCGCACTGGAGAGTGCGTTGCTTGAGAGGGTGGCGGTGCTCCCGCCGAGGGTTCAGATTCCATATGGAGACCGGTTCCCGCTCACTGGCTGAGCGTGGTGCGGGTGCAACACCGAGGGTTGCGATCCCATTGCTGGTCAGTAAAAAAAGACAAAAAAGAAAAAAAAAAAAAAGAAAAATGACATTTATTGCTTACAGTGTCTGAGGCTGGGAAGTCCAAAGTCCATCTGGTGATGGCTAAAGTGACCCAGGGGTTTCACGTTGCAAGACAGTGGAAGCAGTGAGAGCAGAGAGAGAGAGACAGACTTTCCTCTTCTTTTAAAGCCCTCAGAAACATGCCCCTGACCACCATTTTTAATCCATTCACTACTGTACGGTCCTACAATCCAATCATGTCTTCAAGGCTCCACCTTTCAATTATCATAATAGGATTTCTTTCCCTCTTAACAGTCCACGGGGGGGCTAAGTTTGTAATACATAAAACTTGGGGAACACAATTCAAGCCTCATTGAGTTTTGGGGGGACAATTCAACCCACTACACATAGGTACTAGGGGTCAGACCTTCAACATATCTTTTCAGGGTACATATATGGATATGATACATTTTATTTATCTGTTCATTAGCTAATAAACATTTGGGTTGTTTCCACTTTTTGGCTATTATGAAAAATGGTGCTATGAGATTTTGTTTAGTCCTATGTTTTCATTTCCCTTGGATATATACGTAGGAGCAGAGTTGCTAGGCCATATGGTCACTTTATGTTTAACTGTGTGAACAACTGCCAGACCTTTTTCCAGTGTGGCTGCACCATTCGACATTCCCACTGACGATGCATGAGAGTTTTGATTTCTCTACATTGTTGCCAGCACTTACCTGTCTTTTAATTTTTTAAAAAATGTTTTTATTTATTTATTTATTTTTTAAAAAGATGACCGGTAAGGGGATCTTAACCCTTGACTTGGTGTTGTCAGCACCACGCTCAGCCAGTGAGCGAACCGGCCATCCCTATATGGGATCCGAACCCGGGGCCTTGGTGTTATCAGCACCGCACTCTCCCGAGTGAGCCACGGGCTGGCCCAAAAAATGTTTTTATTTTTTGGTGGCTGGCTGGTATGGGGATCTGAACCTTTGACCTTGGTATTATGACACTACCCTCTAACCAACTGAGTAAACAGGCAGTCCCTTACCTGTCTTTTAAATAGAGCCATCCTAGGGCCGGCGTGTGGCTCACTTGGGAGAGTGTGGTGCTGACAACACCAAGTCAAGGGTTAAGATTCCCTTACCGGTCATCTTTAAAAAAAAAGAAAAAATAGAGCCATCCTAGTGGGTGTGAAGTGGTACCTCTGTGTTTTATTATTTTTTTTTAATCTTTTTTCTCTTTGTGGTTTAAATTTGCATTTACCTAATAGCTAATGATGTTGAAAATCTTTTCATGTGCTTATTGGCCATTTGTATATCTTCTTTCAAGAAGGATCTATTGAGATCTTTAGCCTGGTTTTTATTTTATTTATTTATTTATTTATTTATTTTTAAAGATGACTGGTACGGGGATCTTAACCCTTTGACTTGGTGTTGTCAGCACCATGCTCTCTCTTTTTTTTTTTTTTTTTTTGTGACCGGTAAGGGAACGCAACCCTTGGCTTGGTGTCTCCCACACCGGGCTCAGCCAGCAAGCGCACCGACCATCCCCATATAGGATCCGAACCCGCGGCGGGAGCACTGCTGCACTCCCAAGCCCCACGCTCTCCCGAGTGCGCCACGGAGCTGGCCCGCACCATGCTCTCTTAAGTGAGCTAACTGGCCATCCCTGTATATAGGTATCTGAACTCTTGGCCTTGGTGTTATCAGCACCACCCTCTCCCAAGTGAGCCACGGGTTGGCCCCTAGTCTGGTTTTTAATTGGTTTATTTGTTTTTTTTTATTATTGAGTCGTAAGAGTTCTTTATATATTCTAGATATGCCCTTAGCAGACATATGATTTGTAAATATTTTCTCCCATTCTGTGGGTTGTCTTTTTACTTTCTTGGTGGTCAATTCATGTTTTAAAAAGTTTTAAAAAATTGTTTGCATTGAATTTATATATTGAGTATTTCTATAAAAAAATTAACCTTCCCTTCTTATTAAAAAACAGGAGAATTATAATCCCTACCCCCCCCCCCCCCGCAGAGGTTTGTTGAAAGGATTAA